TGAGGTCACCACAGCTGCATGTGTTAGTGTGCCTGACTTCATTAAGATTCATTTTAAGGAGTAGCACTCTGAGGTGTGAAAAGAAATGAAAGTAACTATGTAAAGTGACAACCTGGAGCGATTTACTAACCTGAACTGCCTGCATGAACCTGATAAAAAAGTATTTTAACACCAAGATGCAGTTAATCTAATAACGACCACAGCACTGTACATAAGAAGAAGGTGTGCTATAACATTAAAGAGCAACAAACTGAAGAGAGAACGTTCCATCAGAGAATTACTCTCAATTAGATTTGTTATTAAAATTTTCTTTTTTCAGACTTCATGAAGAATTATGACCAAAATGGTCACAACATGCTGTGTGTGGACCTGTATGAACTGTATGTTACCATTTCCACTGCTCTAGCCAAATGGCAGATTGAAATATCGCATTACCCATATGTTACCCATATAAAAATCTAATATAAAATATTAGGCAATATACCTGATGTGTATGTATCTGATAGAGGTTGATCACAAATAGCAAAATATTGTTTATTTGTATTTATCCTAACGTAAGTGGTGTTTTTCTTGAAATGAAGGTTTACTTCAAAGATAAATTGATTTATATATCATTTTCTCAGGTAGGCTAAGACTTTCACACAATAATTATGCCATCTATAATTACATTATATGCAAATGAATCATTTACATGCCTTTATGACTATGAACACTCACTCATCACACTAATAAGGATAAATTTTATATTCTGGCTCCTGCCAAGTGACAGTAACATTGTCAGAACTCATGTCTGAATATACATGTACAAGAACATTTTATTTTGTGATTATTTTTGTGACATCTTAAACTTCATATTAGATAGACAGATAGCTAGATAAATAGATACATAGACAGAAAGCTTTATTCATCCCAGAAGGAAATTCTTCTATTGCAGCAGTACTAAGCACAGTAAAGAGCATAACACATAACAAGAGCAAAATGAACAGGAGCAAAGTATTGCCATACACTATTTACAGATATATAAAAAAGAAAGTAGAGATAAATAATAGAATAAAATATACTAGAACAATAAAAAGTAAGAGTAATGTGCAGTACAAAAATACAAAGTAATTGCATGAATACTATGCAGGAGACAGTGCAGTGTTGCCTGTCCTTCCAGTGAATGAGCTACTGACTATGAACTATAGCAATAAATGTTAACAGTTGCACAGTTTACCTTAACAATTTATGGATGCATAAATTGTGCAATGTGCAGTATTAGTGGACAAATAAAAAAAAATAAACAAAGTGATCCCAAGACAGAGCCAGCCTTCTTGAGCATCCCAAGACAGAGCCAGCCTTGATAGTTTGTTGAGCTTTTTTGCATCTCCCCCTCTGATGCTGCCTCCCTCAAGAAGGACACCCAGATATTTGGAGGTGTCTATCAGCTCAACGTTCTGACCCATGATGGTAACAGGACTGATCGTGGTCCACCACCATCTGCTTGGTCTTGGTCACATTGAGGATCAGGTGGTTCCTTGTACACCACTCAACAAAGCTTTTCACAAAGTTCATACACTCTCCTTCCTGCCCATCCCTACCACCACCCAACCACCACAGACTTATCAGAAAATTTCCGAAGGTGGCAGTGGTCCATCCTGTATTGGAAGTCCATCGTGTACAGGGTGAAGAGAAAGGGGGAGAGCACAGTTCCCTGAGGTGCTCCAGTGCTGCTGACCAGATAGTCTGACAGGCAGGTTCCCAACCTCACATACTGGGGTCTTCCAGACAGGTGGTCCAAGACCCATGCAATTATGTAGTTGTCCACCTGCATTTTCTCCATCTTCTCCCCTAGCATGAGAGGCTGGATGGTATTGAATGTACTTGAAAAGTCAAAGAAAGTCATTCTCACTATGGTGTTGTTCTGGTCCGAATGGGAATGTGCCTTCTGCAGTAGAAAAATAACAGCATCGTCCTCGCCAACCTGCTGTTGGTAAGCAAACTGCAAGGGGTCCAGGAAAGAGCTGACCTGAGGTCTGAGATATGACAACACTTGTCTCTCCAGGACTTTCATGACATGGGATGTAAGGGCCACTGGTATGTAGTCATTGAAAGAGGAGATAGATGACTTCTTTGGAACAGGAACCAGGCAGGATGTTTTCCACAGCACTGGCACAAACATAAACCTACATAAACATTTATAAAGGTTCCAAAAAGCATCAATTGTTATAAAGGCTGCTTTTGTCAACAATTTATTTGCAGTCTTCTGGAAGTACCTGGGTTGAAAAATGTGTCATGATCCACTCCAACCCTAGAAATTCATGCAACAGCCAATGTTAAAATGTTCAGAGTTCTATGATGTATTTTAAGAATTGCATGTGAAATGGACACTATTAGGAATAGGAGAACTGTGAACATGATATGACAGCGCTAAAACATCAGTTGTCATAACGTGCTTTGTTATTTCACCCAGAAAGTGATATGTTGTTACCTGATGCTGACATAAATCTGTAAACTGCCGTACGCATTATATCAACTTTGAACTAGACAGAACCAGACTTTATGACAACCAACACTTGTTGTGGTAAACCTTTATGTATATCTAATGTAAGTTAATGTCAGTCATGAGAGACTCGTGTAGGACTTGTGCGTCACCTAGCCTTAAATACTGCCTTTCAAGTGTTATTACATATAACCAACATATAACCAAAAAAATCATGATTGTCTTAAGATTAGCAGCTGAACAAAAGGCCTGCAAGGGTTAAGTATTTCAAATGCATTATTACTACTAAAGATTTATGAAGAAATCAAGTATGTCCACTCAACATCATCAAGACTATAAAAAATGCTATACCCATAGAAAAATATACCTGCTTTTCTTTTATGCCTGAAGTGACTCTCATCTATAACAATGAACTGCCTGCGTCCTCCAATGTGCTGTCCTTTCCTTCTTCTGAGTTTTTCCATTGACACCACACAAGCCTCTTTCACCTTTTTGGCCATTTTTGACAGAGTTGCTGACTTCCCTGCTATTTCATCAGCTATCATGTCGATTTGGTGTAAACGCAGATCTTGAGAAAACCTGTAGGCACATAATGGCATGGATAAGAATTATTTTTATGCCCAAGGTGTATTTAAGGTAAAAGATATTTAGAAAAGTCATGTTCAATTCCAGCACTAAATTACTATTCAATATAGAGATGGGCGATACGGCAAAAACATACTACCACAACACTTTATGAAGTTTATGATTTCTGACGTCTGATAAGTTGGAACAGAAAATGTAGTTTCACATTTAAAAAATGTGATCAAAAACTGTCTAATTATTTGTATTGAACATTTCACACTGGCTGCACTAAATCCAGTTAAACAGGACTAATGTTGCTCTCTTTGTAATAAGGAATGCAGTTGGAGAATATCTTAAAATACTGCAGTATCCATGTATGCTCAGAAAAGCATACTTTGACATATTGTGACATTATTTACTACAATAAATACTGTCATACTGCCCAACCCTAAATCGATGCTTCACACCTTGAAACGCATTTTAAGACATAAACAGCACGAAGGTATTTGATCAAAACTACTAATTACAAAAGCAAATACAAAATCCATTTTAGATCATATTTACTGTCTTTACTGTACTTTAATGGGTATTTATTAAGCTATATTTTTTTTTCTTCTGCCAACTGAATAACTTATCTTAGATAACCTAGCTTATCTTAAATTCTAAAACACGTAGTTAGCATCACTTTAAAATCAGTCTTAATGTTTTTGGTGTTATTTCTTATTTCATCCATTTCCTTTTGGGAGAACTGCAAGTTTGCCTTTAACTCACGTTTCTTTTGAGAGCGCGAGCGGCGTCCGCAACAAACTCAGTCAGCTCCATTGTAGAGCGCGAGCGGCGTCCGCAGCAAACCCAGTCAGCCTCGGTGTAGAGTGCAGTTTACACACTGCATTAACATGTGTTTTGTGTCTGGATCATACTGGATACATTTTCTCCCCAGTGTGACCAGATGAGATCCTATTTTACTTCCCGGAGTAAACACATCAATACGTGTTGCTTGCAGTTTACTGTTGTTTACTTTTTTTCCCCATTACGATATGAGTGGACAAGCTCGGCTTGGAAGCTTTCTTTGTCCTGGAGTGCATGAAGGCGCTTGGTTTGGGGAACTTCAGCCTCGCGTATCCTCCATCTTGTGTTTCCTTGTTGGTCCTCTCACTGTAGTCAGTATTTGGCAGACGCATTTTCACTTGCGTAATTGTTTACGGATAACGAAAACCCATTCTGTTCACACTTACGATTGTGGTTTCAGTGATCTGATCGTAATGCGATCACACTGCATCCTGGGGGTGTTTACACCTCGCTTTTCATGCTGTCAAGTGAAATCTGAACGTGAATCCGATCAGCAAAAATGCATGTTAATGTTAAGGCAAAGTGTAAACAGGCCCTATAGGATCATAAACAGAAAGTACAATAGTATATGGAAATGGCTTATACACTGCAAAAAAGATTAGCTAAAATACAAGAAATAAACACTGCATTTGAGGAGAAAATGACTTAAGACTTGTGAAATTATCTGTCCATGCAGCATAATTCTACTTCAAATTTAAAATGAGTTGGTTCCAGACTAGAAATAAGTAGGTTCTGATAAGTGTTTAAAGGTTCATAATAAGCAGAACATTGCTGTTTTTTAGACCAAGTTACTTGAGATCAGACTTTCTATACACTGAATGTCTGCAAATAATTCTCAATTTTTTTGCTTTCATTATTTTAGCACAGTGAAAAAATGAAGGCCAAGTAACAAGAAAATAAATCATTAATTTCAATAGAAGTTATTTGATATTAGTGGAATATGATCATGCTGTTATTTGAAACAAGTTGGCTAATCTTGAAATAGGTAAGACTAAACCCACCTTTCATTTAAAACTAGTCCTTAATCTCAGAGCATACTTCTTAAAACAGGAAGCTGATTTTACTGAAACCACAACCAGGCCTGCAAGTCAAATTTCCCTCAACGTTTATTCACAAGCGAGCAGTCTGAGACAGAGAGTGAGAGGGAGAAAGAGGGTGATGCCACCGGATCTTTGGAGAACAAAAAAAAGGTTAGGTGACACTTTATTTTGAGTGGTCCTTTTAGATAAAACAAACAATCAACAGACTCTCAGGAACATGTTGAAACATTTGTTAGGATTAGGTTTTGGGTTGAGGTTAAAGTTAGGGTTAAGGTTAGGGCCTGAGTGAGGTACTACTCCAAATAAAGTGTTACCAAAGGTTATACTGTTTGAACATCAGAGAGAAAAATATTTCTGAATTAAATAAAACTATCTCAGATAGCAGGAAGTGAAAAACCTCAGCGGAGGAAACAGAAGAAAAACTGGATGTCCTAGCCAGCCAAGTCAAGTACAGGTGCACAACAACAAATGACTGAAAGACAGTGCTAAGAGAAACATAGACATTAAATTTCTAAGAAGCTGGGGTCACTTAAGTTTGAGCAGTATTCTTTCCTTGTAGTTGAAGCATGTTGGGTCATTGCCATTGAATAATTTTTTTTTTTTTTAATATATCTTATGTATGATTGTTAAATCAAGCAACTGAATTTGAGTTTGTGTCACTGAATCTTAAAACATGTTTCAATGGCACAAATTGGTACTCTGTCTAATGTAGCTTGTTTTACCTGTGAATTAGCCAATTGAGACATAAAAGACATATTCATGATCAATTTAAGAACATATCATGATAGAAACTAATAAATAACTTATAAAACAAGTTAAGTAATCTCAAATTTCCACATTCTTAAATCTTGGCAAGCACAGAACGATTTGTAGTGTACTGCACTGAAAGAATGTTGTTAATGTCTATACACTGCATTCATTTCATATTTAATTGGACAGAGACACACATTTATTCATTTATTATCATTATTATTTTTTTGTATGTGTAGTGGAGAGCAGAGCAAACAGAGCAAAAAAAACATTTGAGTGAGCTTGATATGTTTTATACAAGCAACATCCACATCCCCACTTCAAATGGAAACAAGCTTTGCTTTGAGCACCTACCTTTTAGAACAATTCGGCTGAAAGTAGTGTGAGTGCAAATGTTACAACTCCCCACAAACATGGTTAATGTCTATTTTCTATTCTTTACCCACACAACACAAACAGAATCAATACTGAAGAGCTTTGCCACATCCTGCATAACTGTTGTTTTCTCAGAACTGGTGTGAGTCACTTCTCAGTTGATACCACATCCTTGTTTGAAATCTGTTAACAGTTTGTATGAGTGTTGCAAAGGTTCACCACTGTAGAAGACTACAGGCCACATTCATTAAACACAGATACCAGATCAATTTAAGTGAAAATAGTGTTGAATTAATGTTCCCAATTCAGCAACTGGTCAATATATTTGAGTAAAATATACTTAGTCAGATAGCCTAATTATTATTTAGCTGCTACTAGATGACTAGTCTGTATCAGTAGACATATTCCTTTGCTTAGCAAAAAATAGTAGGCTACCATGCACAAAACACTAAAACTAACACTAGACCAAGAGGGAGCAAGGTTAAGTGTTGTTGAAAATGGTAAGAAATAGTAAATCTAAAAAACAAAGTTTGGTGTACTATTTTGCCTTACAACACTCTGTATGTTCCTCTCTAAAATGAACTGATTTATACAAACACATTTTAGGCCAAACTCTTATGTCAAAACTATCGCAAAACAATGTCTCAGGCACTAGACAGTGTATTCATAATCATTTCATGTAATAACTTTCTGTGATGTAGCTTTTAGAGGCATTATTCACTTCAGGTGTCTGGTTCCTGTGACCACCACTGTGATCAATTCTAGAACAGCAATTTACTGTGAACAGTTTCTCTAGAACAGCACATTTGTGGAGACTCAAATGACTCAAAATGACATTGTTTACATCTTAACCATTTAACTGTAGTTTAACTATTTAACATAGTCCTATAATGTTATTTAGAATATGTATCATCGTATTAAGATTAGTGTTGGCAATCAAGATAAAGTTAACCAAGATAAAGTTTAGCTTACCTGACAGCTGACCTGTGCATGCCTGTTTTTGCCAGTTTTGACAGTGAGCTTTATCAGTTCACTTGACGGAAGAAGTAGTGCTTAGAGACAGTTGCTAAGCAGAGATTGGATGAATGTCATGTTAATAATTATTTTGCAAATAGTCACTCATTTGAAACTAAGCAAACTAAGCATAGTAAATACAGTTGCCCAGACTGTGGTGTGCAGCAGATTTACCTGCATTTACAGTTAATACTGTGTTGGCAGCGTAGAAGAACACACACTAATCACTGCACTTACAGGCAAATGCTCTTTTAATTGAACAGACAGCAAATAAAACCCACTAGTCTAGCGCTACTCAATGCAGCGATGATAGCGGGGAAGGTCACCAATAGCCATACCTATTAGCCATAACTTCACTTCATGATAGACACTAACTCCCACTGTAACTATCCCACAGCCCAGCACAATAAAGTGCAAATAACACATACACACATCTTAGACTACCATCAACAACTTAAACAATGTACCAACAGCAGCAAAAGTACCTTTTTGACTTGAGAGGCATGCTCACTTTGCATGGCTACAACACTTAAGCTCCTCACGGCCATGCGAGCCTGCAGCAGACGCCACAGTACATTTTATTTTTGAAGACAAACATTAACGACTTTCAATGACACACTCAATGTGCTGGAAAGAATGTTGAAACTGTTTGCTCTGCTTTAGCTCATCTGAAAAAGCAGCCTTCCCTCCCCCTCTAACGCCTCTTTCTCATTCGACGTAAACGTACCGATTTAACCCATAGTATTTAAAAAGTCTCTTAGCTTTTTAATGATCAGAATATTTCTGAATAATAATACATGTTTTTACATATACTCCCCTGTGTGCCACCATTGCTACCAGCACAGCATGCAGCTTTAAGGCACTTTAATATATTGAACCAGAGTTCAACAGCTCCAGACAACCTTACCTGGAATTTAATCAATTCCCAAATAAGCAAACTTTACCTTCAAAATGAATCCAGGCTATTTATAAAGTTCAAGTAGATTGAACTTGTTCAATCTGAATCAGAATCACTTTATTTCAATTGCACAAACAAGGAATTTGTCTGGGTGCGTGCACACACGTATGACAGGTAACTTATTAAACAGACCAAACAGTACACAGACTGTTAACATGTATTTCACTAAGGGAAAAATAAAATAAAATAGAATAAATAAAGAATTAAGTCATGTGCAGAAAGGAGCTAAAGAGATGTGTGGAAATCTGTATATATGCAGACATGAATGTCTTTACAAATGCATGTCTGAGTAGACATCAACTATAAAATACACTACAGAAGCTATAAATTACTTAATACCACAGAATGATATGAACATTTGTAAAAATGTAACTTATGTACAGTTGTTTAAATAAGCATTCTGTTAGAGGAGGTACTGTAATAGAATAAGGAGGTTTGTTCATTGATACTACAATGTTGGATATAATATTTAGATTTATACAGTTTTCCTTTTCATATAAAACTCAGGGTTTTGCTAAGAGATGAACCAAAATTTACTTTAAACAACCCTCTGCAGAGATGAACCAAGACTTACTTTAAATAACCCATTAATTCCATATCGTCTGAATTCATGTTAACTGTAATGTGCGCACAATCAAGAATTATGAAGTTGGCATGCATGGTAGCTTTTATTTGGAGTTGTGGCACTAACAACAAAATGTTTTAAATGCTAATAGCACTGAGTAGAGGTGGGGGGATAAATCGTGCGTGCACACTACATTAAAAGCTAGTGAAGGGGTCGCAACCCAAAGGTTAATAAGAGTCATTTTGTCCTTTCAATAAAAATCAAACCACACTGGGAGCCACAACATTGAGTCCATTTTACCATCTTGGCTGTACGTGCCTCAGTATGTGCTAATGTAGTAGTGTAGGCTAAAAATACAATGCAAACAAAAAACGCAGACTTACTTTGCTCTGCTTTAAGCTGTAGCGCAGCTGTAGCCGCTTTTCTTGCATCACCAGCAGGAAACTTTTCCACAAAAAGAGATTTTACAAAAACAGTTTTTGTAAAATGTCTCAATGTTCTACTTTTTACGAGGCCGAAGTCGCTTCTCGTTCACCAGCTTCTTGTTCGAATTGTCCTGTTCCACCTTAAATGGTGCCTGTGGTGCGAGAATGTAACTGCTGCACCATTTAAGGTGAATGGGAAAATTTAAACAAGAAGCTGGAGAACGAGAAACTGATTTAGGCTTCACGTTTTTTTAGTGTTTGACAGTTTCTCGTTGCAGATTAAACATACCAGGAAACCAGCTGGAGTGATTATGCTACTAGCTAGGTGCACTAGCAGTTATAGGCTAGTTTAAGACATTCACTGTTAAAACTGTGTTTGAACGATCAGCAGAGCTGTATTTTACTGCAAAGGAGGATTTTTATTTTTACCTAGAAATTTAATTCTGCTGTGGAGCCGCATGTCGCCGAACCCCTGAGCGAGTGTATGGAAGCACTTTGGCTTCTAGAGAGTTGATGGGGAAAACCATATTACATGTTTCCACCCATTTTCCACCCGGTTGTAGTTGCTGCCAACCAGAGGACCATCGATCAAGCGATGTCAGAGCTTCCACCAAACTCGGAAAGGATGAAGCAAACTACAAACTCAATCGCAACTTTTATTGCCAAGGATTTGTATCCGTACTCAGTCTTTGAGAACCAAGGCTTCCGCACTATGTTGCACACTTTGGAGCGAGATCAACGTCTCATCTCGAAGATGTTTTACTGACACAGTGACACCAAACCCCCCACCCCCCCTCCCGGACAATGAGACCAAAACTGAAGTTATAGAATCACTGCAGAAAATGGGCAGAATAGCTGTAACAGAGTTCTCTGGCTGTAATCTGCTGCATGGACACCCAACGCCACAGAATCTTATTTCACCATAACTGCGCATTTTATCACAGATGAGTGGCAGCCTGCGTCTCATGTGCTCCAAACAAGAGCAGTGAATAAGAGCCTTCCAGTTTACTTGGCACTCGCTTCCATTTGATTTATTAATAAAAGATATTAGAAGTAAATTCATTATGGATCATTACAAATAATTTGCTTTAAAAGTACCACAGAGTGAGAAAAAAGAAATCCTGTATAGAAAAAAGATGCATCGAGAGGAGCCTAGAGATTCCCACTCCTACCGCTGAGTGTCACGATGAAGACAGCTGTGCTTGTGGCGACGTCCACAGAGACAGGCGGGCCTGCGGCGACGTCCACAGAGACAGGCGGGCCTGCAACGGCAGGAAGGACTTCCTTAATCCATCCCAGCAAACTCGCTTTGTCCTTGTTTAGGTCTTGCATTCTGTCACAATGAAGGCATAGAGGCTGGACGCACGCGCGAGTTGCTTTTATTACAAAACCAAAAACTTGACAAAATCCAAAGGAGCAGAATAATGAAGGTCCACGAAAGAAACAAATCCATAAAGAAACAAAACAGAAAACAGGAAACAAAAACTAAGCAACAGAGAGAAAATGCAGGACAAAGACTAAACCAAACAAAGGGGTGTATATACACAGAGGGAAAACAAGGAACACCTGGGAAGAACAAGAGGGCGGAGCTACAGACTACAGATAGATAAACACAATTACAAGGGGGCAGGACCAGGCAGGAGACTAAACCAAAAAAACAACAAAGGCACATGGCTTAAACAGGGAAGACAAAACAGGACAAGATGTTAAACAGAGATCAAATTTATTATTTGACATAATAGCTATAGCTGCTAAAATCTAACCATAAGGCTAGAGGTAACGGTGCTACACAGACTATAGCAGAAGTGCATAATGCTGGTCCTGGAAATCTACTGTGCTGAGAGAATCCCTATCAGAGTATCTTAATATTAGAGCCAGGTGTGCTGGATCTGAACTCTCCAGACTGTTAGGTCAGTAAGCTTACATAGGAACAGTGACCTAAAATCTGGTGGGTACTCAGTTACACTGACTTGCTCCTGCATGGTAGGTAAATCTCTGTTTTTAACTCTCCTTTTCTCAGAACTGGCATGATTCTCAGACCCCTACTCAGTGGAGGCCACACCCCTTTTAGGATCGGTTTTGTAAGAGCTCATCTGCCCACACAGCATTATTTGCAGAGGAGTTGTGACAGTTCACGAGTGCTCTTCCATTCAGATCCGCGTTTACAGTGAGTATCCTAATCTTTGTTAGCATACACTGTATTCTGTGCTTTATTTCTCCTTTATTTCTATGTCTTCTCCTACCTGCTTTAGTTGAGATTTTTACAAACTTAAAAAATGGTTTCCACTACCTCTGTTGGTAATGGTTTCAGTTATTTTAATTTTTTTTTCTTTCCCAGAGTGGCAGTCTACAAATATACAAATGAGTAAAAGAGGTATGTCTTTAGACTCGCTAAAAATCTGAATGAACCCATTTTTTACACTGTTCATGTTGTATATGTGTGTTTTTTAACAGTGAAGGATTATTGAGTGGCACTTCTATTGTACAAATTCTTAGCTGTGGTCTGTGGTGCAGTTTGTCCCCCTCCATTTTTAGTAGATAATTACAGTAAATGGAAGGATATTATAAAATGGTAATGACACGATGTTTGAGCATGTTAGAACTTCACTATAGACATCAGTGTCTAAAAATCAGAATGAATCCACTTACACTGTTCAAAGGTTTCATGTTTGAAATTTGTAAAAAAAAAAAAAAAATTGATCTTTTTATTAACAGCAGATAAAAGGACACTTGAAGATGACAACATTTGTCCCCCGGGGACGACTAAAAAACAAAAAAGTCATTCTAGCTCTGAGAGGAGTGATGCTGGTAAGCTTTACATTTTGCTGCTGTTGTCAAATGCTGAATGTATTCCAAAGAAACAACATGATGGTGAAACCAGATACAGAAACATTTTTGTTCAATTTATTCAAAAAATCAAAATAGAAAAAAGAGACAAAATCTTGTTAACTATACAAAAGAAAATAAATCACCAGTCCAGTCTTGAGTCAGTTTATATAAGCACATCTTGGCACCTTTAGTCTATAATCTAAGACAGTGCTCAAATCTCAGGATATAAGGTTGTAATAGTGCTGTTGTGTCAACCACACTATCACAAAGAAAAATCATGAGTCAGGAACCTTTGCTAACATGTTGTAGACCTTTAACTTAAATGCTGTTAATCACAACAATATAGGTTTATGTATTTATCAATTTCGTTTACTTAGAAAAGTTATTTAATGTGTTGATTAGCTATTTTAAAAAAAAAATCACAATCAGCTAATGTCTCCTAGTGTGCTATTTCCAGCACACTATTTTTTAAAAATACATTTAAATACACAATAAAATATTCAATGTTCTGATGGACATTTGTAGCTTAATAAAATAATTGTTAATGGATAATGACAAATAGTTTCTGGTGTGGGAAATTTCAAAGGTGAATTACTGTACACATCATTTTAATGACTGTCAATTGTCTTTAAGGACATGTCAGCAGAGCCAGTTTAAAGTGTCACTATCTGATCTGCATCCTCTGCCCGATTTGTACTGTACATGCATAGACTAATGCATTAACTGGCACTACTCAGTTTGTATTGCACAAGTAATCGTTTAATGGCAGTGACAGATCTGTATCAATATGTTATATTCCCCATATTTTGCTACCACATTATGTTTCCTGCAAATGTTTATCAGTATAAACATCTAGTTTTAGGCTGTCTTCTCTATGTGAGTAGCTGTGCTGTGTACACAAAAGCATTCTTTATACCTATATAACTATAATAGGAGGACAAAGCTGTGCTAAAACGTGCTCTTATGCCAGATCAAAATGAAAAAATAATTGAGTGTGGTTGTGTGCTTAACTCTCACCTCTCCCTGTGCTCTACTTTGAACATTTTTTTGCTCACAGATAGACATAAAGAAAATGCTAAGAAGAATTAAACTCAGTGTGAGAATGTGATTTCCCAGTTTGTGATGCTGCTATACAATAATATACAGGAATTCATAATTTGTGAATATTACAGTCAGTCTTATGAAGCAGTCTAAGCATGCAGTGTACAGATGCACATTCAGTGTACAAATCAGGCAAATTTGCACAAAGAAAACAAATATTTTAGACAAGTGCAGTTGTCTACAAAAGGGATTTTAAAAATGATGAAGCATTTAAAAACTTCAATTTTGCATATGGTAACCCATTTGTTTTGGACTTTAAATGAATACATGGGAGCCAGGATATAGCCTCCAAGCTCCAGTGCTTTACTGAGCTGCACATTCATGCACTGAGTGAACAGGAGTGAAACTGTAAGGAAAAATAAGAATAACAATACACAGTGTGAGTAATGCTATTAGAGCTACAGCATGCTCAATAACACACAACAGTACAGGATGACTGGAGAAGGATACCGAATACAATGTTCTGCTGATTATGAAACTTACTTACTGTCAGCTTAACATTTAGTAGAATAAGCATTTTAAAGCTATGCAAACTGCATTGACAAATTACAAATACTTGTATATAAATGGCTTTAAGCTCCCCTTATATGGTTTAACACACATAAGGGACAAAGAATAGAGGCTAAGCTAACAATAGGAGTATATAAAAACAAGGCTACATAGTGCTTTTTAACAGACATGAGATTAAAGTGCAAAGGTGAACATCAACCAGAAATACTTGTAAAATATTAATCTTGGGTCTTTATGGTATCTTAAACACATACAGACTATGCTTTCGATGGGATAAACAAGACTGCAGCAGATTAACTTTAGACAGCAGAGTGTGGCTGCTGGAGTATCAGACTGAATTATTTCCTGCATTGCCGTTGCAAGGTAAAGACAAAGGCTGCCAAACTAAAAATCCTCTGTGCTATTTAATTTTAATTAAGGACAGAACAGGTATGTTGTAAAATTTGGGAAAGGGTGCTAGTTGTTGAATATCATGTGACCAGAATATAGAGAACATGCAGAAGAAGCCCCTCAGTTTTCTGTTATTATATTCCTGTTCTTGTGGTCTTATTCTTTTTGACAAATCCAGTATATTATAAAAATTGTGACAAAGATGGTCCTGTGCCAGCTTTAAGGGGACTTAAAAGGGAGCTGTACAAATAGCAAATTGGACAGGTGGATGAGTTTAAGGAGTCGCGAGAGGACTTTGAATCCAAACTTCTACAGTAACAGACACCCATACCTGAGTTTCACCACACTTCTACATTAACACAGACATCCATACCTGAGTTCTACCACACTTACACATTAACACAGACATCCATACCTGAGTTCTACCACACTTACACATTAACACAGACATCCATACCTAAGTTCTACCACACTTACACAGTAACACAGACATCCATACCTGAGTTTCACCACACTTCTACATTAACACAGACATCCATACCTGAGTTCTACCACACTTATACATTAACACAGACATTCATACCTGAGTTCTACCACATTTACACATTAACACAGACATCCATACCTGAGTTCTACCACACTTCTACATTAACACAGACATCCATACCTGAGTTCTACCACACTTATACATTAACACAGACATCCATACCTGAGTTCTACCACATTTACACATTAACACAGACGTCCATACCTGAGTTCTACCACACTTACACAGTAACACAGACATCCATACCTGAGTTCTACCACACTTACACAGTAACACAGACATCCATACCTGAGTTCTACCACACTTACACAGTAACACAGACATCCATACCTGAGTTCTACCACACTTACACAGTAACACAGACATCCACACCTGAGTTCTACCACACTTACACAGTAACACAGACATCCATACCTGAGTTTCACCACACTTCTACATTAACACAGACATCCATACCTGAGTTCTACCACACTTGTACAGTAACACAGACATCCATACCTGAGTTTCACCACACTTCTACATTAACACAGACATCCATACCTGAGTTCTACCACACTTACACAGTAACACAGACATCCATACCTGAGTTCTACCACACTTATACATTAACACAGACATCCATACCTGAGTTTCACCACACTTACACAGTAACACAGACATCCATACCTGAGTTTCACCACACTTATACATTAACACAGACATCCATACCTGAGTTCTACCACACTTGTACAGTAACACAGACATCCATACCTGAGTTCTACCACACTTACACTGTAACAGACATCCATACCTGAGATCTACCACACTTACACAGTAACACAAACATCCATACCTGAGTTCTACCACACTTATACAGTAACAGACATCCATATCTGAGGTCTACACACTTGTACAGTAGAACCTTTTCTCCATCCAATTCTTTCATGATGCAATGAACCCTTTAATCATGTTAAGGGCAATATTATTTATTGGTATACTTTGTACAAAAACAACATGTATCCAGACACAGGCTCTGCAATAAATGATGAACATAATATCCACACTTCTTTCTGTGATGCCTCTATGAGTTTTTCTCTCTATGAGATTTTTCTCTTGTCCCACTGCATAATGCACATCACTGACAGTGGACATTATAGTGACTCTCAGACTCTCTTGAGACTTTTTGCGTAATATATTGTTATGCGTAAATATGTATTTTGAATGACCAAATAATAAGAATCTAACACACCAAAACAACAGTTTGTGGATGGAAACAGTTTGAAGATGTTTATATTACAAAACATTACAATAAATTAAAAACTGTACAAATTTTAAAGTATTCTGTTATGACCCTGTGTAGGGTCAGGCCATAACAGAAAATAAGAATGGGCTCTCTCCCCAGACTTACTGCCAGACCAAACACCAGACACCACTGAAACCAGTAATCTGTAGGTTTATTCAGACTTTGTTAAAAGTATGCAAGTTTGCAAGAGGCTAAGCTGAAATAGGGGTAATGGCTTCAGGGACTATTGCATGCCAAAATAGCAAAACAACTAATAGTTAGAAATCTAACTGAACTATAAACAAAACAAACAAAAATACAGATGGCTACCCTAACCCCCTACATTAAAACTGGAGAAAAGATTACCAAACAAAATAGCACTCACGCCATACTTTCCCCAAAGTCACGTCTGATAAAGCGATAAATTAATATGTGAAACAAATTTAACAATGAAGGCCAAACGAAGCAGAGTGGAGTGAAGAGTGCTGGGTTGGTCTGAACAGGTGTTGTTCCAGGTCACATCAGAGGGGAGAGAGTCCTGAATGTCTCCTGAGATGGAAGCTTGGTGACCTTTTATACAGGAGGGTGTACCCGAGTGGCCAATCATGTACCTACAGATAGTACAACAACTGAAGGAACACACAAATGGCCCCAAACAGATACAAAGAAAGGTTATCATGACCAGGAGTTGTAACAGTACAAACCTTGTCTCACTGAGTCTTTTTTTATTACATATCTTTTTGTAGTGATCGATATTAACAGAGCCAAAGAAATTATGACAAGAACCGATACTCAACTCACTGAGCAATGCGAAAACCTCAGGAAGCTCATTCAATATGTCAGGTACAGTAGCCTTTATAATATAAATACACTAACATTGATATAAGCTGTGTACAATTAAGACAGTGTTTATTTTTCTTTTGTATTTCTATGCACAGGACAAACATCTCAGAATTGGATAAAGGAGGTGTAAAAAAGAAAACTACTGTTGGAGTGTTTGGCAAATCAGGGGCTGGGAAGAGCTCTCTGATAAACGCCATCCTGGGGGAAACAGATCTGTTACCATCAGGAACCTCTCATGCATGTACTTCAGTCATCATACAGATTGAAGCCAACCTAACAGACTCCAATTACACAGCTGAGATTGAATTCATCTCAAAAGAGGTACACAGGTTATACACACATGTTCTAATTACACAAATTCAATCTCACAAATTATTATTAAACAAAACATCTAGTAGATATTAAAGCAAGGGTTAAGCCAAACATCAAATATGCACAGTTTTCCCTTTCACCAAATACCTTCAGTTAGCCAAAGTATGCTTCTTTAGTTTTGTACTGGAGCTGGAAAGCTAGAGCAGTTAACAAGTAATGCATAAATCATCAAGTTGCATAAATTAAAATAGATAAAAGTACAAACAATTTATATCAGAAACTACATAAACAAGTCTATTTTGATCATTATTAACAAGTCGACACAGTAAGCATGAAATTTGCTCAATAATAATGGGTGGCTATAGGTTTTCGTTAGATTCATTAAATTTGTATAGTGCAAATCTTAAGAATGAATACCTCTGACGTGTCTTGGCTGATCTACATTTACATTAAAATGAAAATTGTGTACATTTAATTTCTGTCCAAACCATCACTTAAATATGTATGCCTTCTTAGACCATGAATAGCTTAAGAGATAACTTCAAGGGTTTTGAAGTTGGTATATTTAGATAAATTACATTAGTATAGTGCCTAGAAAAGACCACTGGCCACAGTAGATTGATGGAATATCACCTATTGGAATACCTCATCTTCTGTAGAAAGATGATGTTTTCTCAGTGTTAACAGTCCAGTCCAGTGGGTCATTTAAGTAGACTCCCAGGTACTTGTAGGCCTGAACCATCTCCACATACTTCACCCAAATGGTGACTGATTTCACAGGCCTTCTAACATGCCAGAAACCCACCACTAGTTCCCTACCTTGTTGATGTTAAGCTGCAGCTTGTTCTTACTGCTCCACAAGTCAGTTCTCCACCAGCCTCCTGTGCTCCGATTCATCTCATCTACTACAAACAAAGAGTCATCAGAAAACTGTGGCCTGTTGGTCAGATAATTATCATCCAGGTGACCGTAAGGGTGTCAACCTTATCTCCCAGTCAAAGAGGCAGGATAGGATTGAAAAAAATAGATCCTGACTATGGCTCCAGCTTTATCTAGTTGTGAGTAACCTCCATGGAGCATACAGATCAGAGTATCATCCACCCTTGTGTGTGTCGGGTAGGCAAACTGGCCAAACATGGCCAAGATTAAGAGCTGTTTAAGGGGAATTCCACAGATCTTTAAAAATTCTTTTTTTTTTTAATCATTTTCAGCATCACATTTTCACATATAAACAGTGTTTCAGCCTTGACTGCTTTTTGAGTGAGAAAAAATAAAAGGCAGTCAATTAGAACATATATATGATTTATGTCAGTTTTAAACTCAAAATAACAAAAATAACTTCTGACCTCTTCCTCAAAAAATCACTGCCCATTCTGTCCACTTATCTGCCAGCCACTTAATCTAGTCTGTAAGCCACTCAATGAAGTACTGCAGCAGTGGCTAGTCCCTTTGGCACAGCAGTAATGATCTGCCTATCCATTATATGAGTTCTACACAGACTTTGCACATAGACATGCAGTCATAATTCATTTTTACTTTACCATTTTCAACCTTTCTTTTTCCCTTATTATTAATAAAGAAGCTAGGAGGACAATCAGAGAGGTAGGAAAAAAATAATTCAAAGTTAAAGTGATGATTCATCGCTGATCTGACCAATAGAATCCAATTTTTTAGGCTCTGAAACCGTGCAAAAATGGTTCATATTACCCTCTACAGTCTGAGGTCTCTTTATCTAGATGCAGATACTGTAATGCAGCAATGTGGAAACAATGTAGGCCTTTAGCAAAATTCACAAGAAGGTGAGGAGTGTTGTGTTATTTATCAAGAGACATCAAATGTTGCAGACCAAAAAAAATCACAATGAAAAAGGGATGTGTGTCACCTGCCATGCAGAGAACTGTTATACTGTAACAAGGCAGAATAACTCAGACGCTCGCGGTTAAAAAAAAAAGAGAGTGAGGCTTTAATGTTTGAGTTGTAATCCAATATCGTGGTCCAAAAGCAGGCGAAGGTCAAATCCAGCAAAGGCAAGCAACACAAAAAGACAAACATAAGGCGAACAAAGTCCAAAGGGCAAAGGCAAAAGTCAAAAACAGCAAACAGAGTCGAAAACCGGAAAATCACAATAGACAGAAGAATATAACGCTCAGTAGCTCTTGGGAAAAGAAGCAATACCTCCCAATGAACTAGACTAAAAGCCCGGGCTTTATACTAAACTAATTATATGAGAACAGGTGAAATCAGTTAATACTCCGGTGACAGAAAGCGGTGATTGGAGCGAGATGGAGTCCCTAGAGACCTCAGAGCCTGAAGGATGCGTGACATATATGTCATACTGAATTTCTCTCTTGACCTTGCAGTGAGAACAGCTTTTAAGACTACAACTTCTAAATTGAAGCTCTTGCAAATCCAAAAGACTCATTCATGTAGAAGCTATAAGCCAGTAGATCACGGCTGTGTTCTTTTCCAGAATGTCTGCTGTAACCCATCATTAACCATATGTATTTTGCCATAAAGCTTGGACCAAACATTCTACTGATGTGCTCTGTTTCTAGTTTTAAGCTCTGTCCATGCCTTTTTGGAGGCTGTTGATTAAACTGTTTCTAATTAACATGTTATCCTAATCTTCAGGAATGGAAAGAAGAATTCAACACTCTTCAGAAGATTTTGTCGGAAGACAGTGAGGAGAGTGATGCAGTGTTCTCTACAGCATCTGACAAGATTAGAGCACTATATGGGGAGAATGGTCTTCCTAAAGCCTCAGAAAAAGATGGCTATTTGCCTGAAATTCCGGAGTTTCTCACATCCACAGTCAAAACAATAGCATGTCAAAATGTAAGTTGATGTGTTTTTGTCCATAGCTGAAGGAGTCAAAGACAACATTCTAAATGTGAATAGGGCACATCTTTTGTGTTTATGCCTGTTCATTTTGTGTTCAACATCAGGGCACAGATCTCAAGAAACAGATAAGGTGTTATGTACAGCATCTTGATTCAAGTCCTGGAGGATGTTATTGGCCGGTAGTGAAGAGTGTGACCATCAAGGTGCCTCACTGTAAAGAATTTCTAGAACACATTGTGTTAGTGGATCTTCCTGGAACTGGAGATTACAACAAGAGCAGAGATCAGATGTGGAGATCGGTAAAAACTGATTAATAGAAAATAACTAGCAGGAACTAATTTGCCCTTTAGAAGTGTACTGCAAAGCTGAATTGATGAGTTTGCGAACAAAAGCCCAAACTTAAAAACCTTAAAACTGTTGAGCTCAGACATAAGTTTTCTTATGGGTAGTTGCAGTGTTAAACAGTAATATTCTTATATTTTTATAGAAACTGAGAGAGTGTTCTACAGCGTGGATCATAAGTGAAATAAACCGTGCTGGGTCTGACAAGGAGACCTGGGAACTTGTTTCTAACAGTGTAGCAGACATGGCACAAGGTGGAGAGTGCCGCAGTATCTGCTTCATATGTACCAAGGCTGATGACATCAACCCAAAAGAGTACATGGAGTCAGTAACAATTTATGGTCCAACTATTTATAAACTTTTTATATTTTTACAGTTCATACAGCTGCAATGACATATTATAGCATGGCAGACAGATGGCTTGTCGGATGTCTATTGCAATGTGTGGCTTAATTGCATTAATTTAAATTGCAAATATATTAATATTATATTAATATATTCAATTATTAATTATATTATTAGTATAATATATTTGTGTATGGCTTTTTTATTTGTTAATGTAACACCCAGGACTGAAAGTCTCAAGGATGAAGACTTTCAGATCAGACCAGAGGTAATTTTGATGTAGTTAGAATTAGTTACAATATTTCCAGAAAAATCTTTTTAATTTAGTTAATGCAGGACATGAATAAATCTGCATGTCTTTATAGGATTCTCAATACAGCCGCAAGAAAAAGTCTGAATGCATACTGCACAGGAACAGGAAACTGAAGGAAATGGTGAAGAGAAATTTTACTCAAAAACGTACAATAAAGGTATATTCTTCTAGTTTCATTTAAAAAAAAGTATAAAAGCTGCAGACAACTCATTTTTGAAAAGGTTTTGAATACTGACATCATTTATAATTCTAAAAACATAAAAAATAATTAGTTTTTTTTTTATTTATCTCTCAAAGTAGTATCAGAATAGGGTATTATATTGTTACAGTTAGATACTCTGGAAGCATCATCAGGAAAGAGTAACTTGATCTCTCATTTGAGTTACAGGGTCTATCCCAAACCCCACACTTGCAATTTGTCATTTTTGTAAGTCCACAGCTAAGAAGTGCACACTAACTATCCCAGTCTTAATCTTTGTCACTGTGGTGGTTGCCAGTCCAGTTGCTACTCATGCAGGTCATGTTTCTGTCCCTATTTCAGGCACTATCCTTGTCCCATCACTTTTCCTATCCAAATCCACCCTGCCCCCCGATTTTTTTTCCATCCAAGCAGGAGCTGACCTTATCAATTGTTTGAAGACTGAAACCAAGTTATTAAACAAGTGGAATCAGGTGCCCTCCTGCTTAATTGGAATGAAAACTTGTAGCCACACGAAGCCCTTTGTGGATAAAATTGGCGACCATTGTATTACACCCTTAAAAATTTAACTGACCTTGATGTTCCCTTTGCAGTACAATCTCAATCACTGCAGTGCTCCACCACTGCACTGTGCTGCATCAATGTGAGCCACAACTTGGCCACAACTAGACTCATGGGGGATTAAGTGAAAATGACAAAAAGCTTGGTTTTGATCTGTTGTGATCTGGATCATGAGCTGGAGAATGTAGGGATAAGGAATTGAGAAGAGTTATGAGATGTGCCAAAGTAGTTGTTAACACTATTACTACTGAATCATCTGACCCATGTTAAGCGCAACAACATGTTAGACAGAAGAGTAATTACCTTGTTGAATGTGAGACAAAAGGAATATATTGCATGTGTCACAAATGAATGAATATAGGTTTTTATATATTGTAAAATTATAACATTGTCCACTGAATTCTAATAGACTTAACATTTAGGTCAAAAAGTTTGTTTTGTCGGGACAGCCTGGTGCTGGACATTTACAGAGAAAGGTGAGAAGCAGAGACTAAGGACAAAACGTGCAAAAAAGCATAATTGTGTGTGATTGGGTTCCTCATTTCACAACACATAGTCTTCACATTCCTGGGACTCATGGCTTAATCATTTGGGTAGAAACCTCCTGCAATAGTGAAAAGCAGCTTCAACCTATCTTAGGAATAAAATGAAAAAACAAAAAGCTTCATTCTCATTCAGTAATTTTACTCTTTGTGTCCTCCATTAGAGACACTTCAACTGTGATGATGACTTCCTTTCTGTGTTCACTGTGACTTCTCAAGAATTCCACAAGGAAGATCCAATCCTGACACATGAGCAAACAGGTTCAGAATAAAATATGAACATAGTAACATATAATAATAATAAAGTAAAAAATAACTGCTAAACACCTGTAGTAATAATAATTGCTCAGCATGACATTCTTTTGTCTGGCCTTATGTAGAGATACCTTTGCTGAGGGACCTCCTGAAAATGTACAACAACAGTCACAAAAATGAAATGGCAAGGCAGTACATCTCTGGGGCACATGGAATCCTGTCCCTAATTCAAGGTTTCAAGGCAACCAACAATGACATGGTATGTCACATCACTCATAATACCAATTTATAATAATGATGCTGTTTCCCTACCAATATGATACTAACTTACTGTATCTTCAGATACAGCACTAAAGTAATTAAATGTACAATATATTACTATATTTGCTGAAAATACTGGAAGACAAAAAAAAAGGTTGGCCTATGCAAAAGTTACAGCATATTTAATATTTTATGTTTTAGTTTTCAAATGTTAAACTATTAACATATGTAAACATATGTAAGTTTGTTTCCTGTATGAGATGTGTTCGCTTATTTTCACTTAGAAAATCAACAGAACATGTAATTTGACCAAGGCTTTTCAAACTTTTGAATACAACTAGCTGATGAGGCTCAAAACCTCGGCTGCCAGAGGCAGGTGCAGAGTCCAAGAAGTCGGAGGGCCAAGCAGATTGGCCGGCTGGGTGGAAGCAACTGAGGCAGAACTAGCCAGGGAAACTGAAGCAGTGAGAATAGACCTCATTTAGATGTCAGGTGGAATGATTCAGTAAAAGAAGCAGGCATACAACAAAAAAAGTTCTGCGTTTTACGGCAAAACACACAAGAGAGCGGAGTGACACTGGAGTCTCACAGCTGGTGCAAAAACTTTGTCAGATACAGGAAATTTAAAAAGACATTAGATTAGGTGGCGTTTCAGGCATGGTCCTGCCCCAAACTTTATTTCATTACTACATTTTATAAGAGCAGAAATATACTCAGCATTTGTGGGCAACATTAGCACCATGATACTCGATATAATGCTTTGGTTTTTATAACATAAATGAGAGCAGACTAGAAGTGCTTTAATCTCACTTGGCTTGCCCACTGCCACATCCTTCAAAAACACAACACGTAATACACACAAAAGAACAATTCTACCATTATAAATGGTCTTTAATTAGTGTAAGTAAGCTTGTGATAAAAAGTTAATACAGACCATTTGCTAGAATCCAAACAGTCCCATGATTCAGGCACTGTAGGCCCTACCATGAAAACTACAGCCAAAAGTGCTCAAAGATACTCAAAATGTCTTTGTACATGGCTACATATAATGTTAATAGCAACACAGTTTAATAACTGCCATATTTACTGCAGATGATATTTACACATATTCAATTAGTATTTTAGTGTGAACTTATATGCTCCAACACTCTCTGCAGACATTGCAAACAAAATAAAATAAAAACACACTAATACAGATAATAAACAAGTCCCTAACAATTGCCTCTGAAGTAAAAAGATTAGAGAAAACAGAAGTTTAAGAATCACTAGTCAAGCTGTAAGGCTGAAAGAAAGGTCTATCTGAGACTAAGGAAAATATTTAAAGAAGTAAAAGAAGTCATATAAATGCATAAATTACAAAAAGGCAACAAAATAATGTCTAAGTGTTTGGATCTCCTGGTGAGGACTCTTAAAACTGACCTATTTGCTGTATTTTCATTTTTCGTGCTCTTAGTTGTCATTGGCTGTGGAGGAATCAATTTAGACTGAGTCGCTGACATGAAACACTACTAGAATTACACTTAACGGAAGGCGGTAAGCTTGGCCACATTCACTGTCTAACTTTATGTGTGCTCTATGGAAGCATATGAGTAGCAAGATTAAAATGAAAATGAAATATTCGAAATGGCAATGTATTCTTATGTAATATAATTTAAATCTTCCACTCATGTATGCTATTTTGGGCTCAGAAAGAAAATTCAGTTTTACCATTTTAATTTGCCATCTTGTATACTAGTATTGATATATCAATTACAAATTTAGACACTTTAGACACTTTACAGAGATTTGGACACTTTACAGATAAACTATGTATTTAATTTATTTAATTAAAGTAATTCAGTAATGGGTTAAACGTGTTTGATAGACTATACCAGGAATGTATCAGTCATACTGCATTGAGGTGGAACTTAGTGCTGAAAATTTCCATATATACGCAGTGAGCAGTGAGACAAGTGAGATGTTTCTCTACTGATATTTCATTAAAATTTGTAAGTAAATTCCTGCTGAAAACCTCTTAATCAGTCATATCAAGCTGTATCTTGGGTCAACTTCACAAGGCAGATTTAAATCAGTGATTGGTAGGGTGAGATATAATGGTTTAAGGTAATAGAAATTACTGTCACTAAATACTACTGTGTCAGGTTGTTCTGCGTAGTTCTCTGGTGTAGCCTTGTCTATCTCAGTCTCAAACCTAAAGGACTGTATTGTATTATTAGGGTCTGCTGTCACTGCAGCAGTTACTGATGATTTATGGTCTCCAGCAGCTTAAACAATGACTTTAGAAGCTGAAGAACCAACTCTGGCAATTTCATTATTCAAAGTCAGTCATAGTAGTCTGTTATTATAACACTTAACTGTCATCCACCAGTGATGTCACATGACACATCTAAAATTTCCAGAGACATCAGCCTTTTCTGTTCATTTTTTATTGTTAATTTGTCCATTTTATAGCCAAACAAGCACATTTGTCAACTTAACTCACATTCACATCTCTTCAGTAGCAAAAAATTATATGAAATATTCAGGGAGGTCCATTACCTGTTGCGTTAGCTTTAAAGGGGAACTCCACCAATTTTTCAAAATTTATGAAGAGTCTGATACCTCTAAAAGCTCCCTCCCATAAAGTTATTACATGAAACAGTTATGAATATGTTGCCTGAGACATTGTCTAAAACATTGTTTTACGGTAGTTTTGTGATAAAGTTTTGGTTTAGAACATATTTACCATTACAATGTTACGTAAATCTCAGAAGACACATGTAGGTTCACTGGTGGTTTGGATAGTAAACAAAATGGCTATATTTGCATTTTTGACATTGGGACTCCTGGTTCCTATCACCACCACTGTAAAGAAATCTGAGTCTGTAAGGTTTTCTGTAAATGAACTGTTTCACATCAAATTGATCTGAAAGACTGTTATAAATTTGAAAAATTTGTGAAATTCCCCTTTTATTCCCTTACATTTATTCCCTTTCCCATTAGAATTACAGACTGAGAATAATATTTTACTAAAGTTATGACAATAACTTAATATTTTACAGTTCGCCTACAGTTACTCTAAGGACTTCAGAATCAAACATAAAATTTCTAATAGATTATTAGATCTCTTCTGACATTCCCTAGGGGCGGCGTGGTGGCACAGTGAGTCTGTCACCTCACAGCAAAAAGGGACTGGGTTTGATTCCCAGCTGGGTGACCAGGGTCCTTTCTTTGTGGAGTTTGCATGTTCTCCCCGTGTCTGCATGGGTTTCCTCCGGGTTCTCCCGTTTCCTCGCACAGTCCAAAGACATGCAGTCAGACTAACTGGACATGCTAAATTGCCCCTAGGTTTGAATGTGTGTGTGTGTGTGTGTGTGTGTGGATGTATATGTCTGTCTGTCTGCCCTGCAATGGACTAGTGACCTGTCCAGGGTGTTTCCTGCCTTCCGCCCAATGACTGCTGGGATAGGCTCCAGCACCCACCGCAACCCAGAAGGATAAGCAGTTTAGAAAGTGTGTGTGTGTGTGAGACATTCCATTGACTGACACGCTAAGGAGCATCAACATCATGCAAAAAAAATGAATAAACAGCACTGTGTGAAAATAATATGCGTCAAGTTCATTTCTATCCCACCTAAACAAAAAGTACAATGTACAGCAAAAACACTGAACCAAAATGTATATAATACAATTGTTTTGTAATAACCTTTATACTTTAGATGGAAGAGAATGCCAAACTACATGAGAACTTAAAGAAAAATCTTCAAAATGAACTTAAAAACTTGAAAGACTGCTGTGCCAAAATCAGCTGGACTCTGGAACAGTGTCTATCACAAGGAGCAGCAGAATCTAAAAACAACTGTGTTGCGACTGCAACAAAAATAGTAAAACCGGTAAATGGATTTCTTATTATTTACAAATTACACCATTCATAACAATGTTTAGATATGCTATTAAATTCTTTTAATTCTTCAAAAGAACATAGATGGTCGAGGATTTCATCGAATACTGTCAGCATTGTGTGAGAATAATGGATTCTACAGAACTAAGAACGGCGAAATACTAGATCTCAATACGAGCCTGATCAAATACATGAAACAACATATTAATCAAGCATTCCGTGACTTTTTCCCGTGAGTATAACTTTTATCTGTATATAAATTATTTACTGTATTCATTTATCACAAAAGTTACAAATATCTAGAGCAGCAGTGCCTTAGAAACTAGAAGCTTTAAGTTATGAGTCATTAGGAATTTCCTCTTATTTGGGTGAAATGTTATTTTGTCTTACTCTGATGCGGAAAATGATAGCTATATCTTTATATACACAGTTCAAACTTTGATGACTGGATTCTTGAGGGAAAATGAACCTACTCATTGACACAAAAAAAAACTTCCATGGTTCTAGAAAAGAATCAGGAAATTAATTACAGATACAGATGCTTCTCTGAAAATGGCTCTTATGTCTGAATTATGCACTGATTAGATGTGATAATATTCAGTCATTTACTATACCACATTATTTCACACGCAGAGTAACATTTATCATGGATAATCTGAAATGCTGCCATCGCAATTTAGTGTCACCAGTTTCTCATTATCTGACTACACAAGTGCATGTAATGAATTACTGACAAAATCAGATTTTTTGCAGTTACACTGTGTGTCTGGCAAAAACTGTTTTTTTTTGTTTTTTTTTTAAGGGTACAGGTATTCAATTGTTTGTGTTTTGACAGCGCATGTTTTTCTTTAATTTCTTATTGTTTGACATTGCACAGGTTATACTAACGATAAGTAGAGTATCTTCTGTCATCTTTATTTATTTTTTGGATTTTTACCCAATTCTCTCCCCAATTTAGTCGTTTCCAATTCCACACGCTAGTAAGGACTCCCCCAATCACACGATAGTACCGACGCTACGAGGGTGAAGGCAGCACAGGCTTCCTCCGAGACCTGTGAAGCGCCACCGCATCTTTTCGAACTGCCGATTACGCAACGTCATTGGACAGCTGAACACGCTCGGAGGAAAGCGCCAACCGCCAGATCTGCTACGTCAGCTAACAGACACCTGCGCTGACTAGCATCGCGTTGAGTGATGGGGGGAGAAGGAGGGGCCATCCTACCCACCCAGAGAGAGCGAGGCCAATTGTGCTTTCTTGGATGGCTGTAGCATCACCATAGATCGAACTCGCGATCGGGAGCCCCTGTCATCCTTTTAAACTATCCTTAAATGACCATTTTAGGCATCTTTCTCCCTTTAAATTTAGTAGAAGCTTTAGCATTAGGACAGCAGAAAAATGAACTTATTTAAATTTATAGATACGTGTCTTGTATACAAGTTCCCTTACAATCTGGCTCCTCATCCACTTACTGCCTTTATTAAGCAGAAAACAATTGACAAATTTATTAGATCACTGGCAAGAGGAGATGTTGTGAGGGCGCCCTTTGGACAGTAAGCCAGTCAGCTTTAGAACAGTAATGTTTTATATGCAAGAACAGTAAGAACAGTTTATGCTTGGAATGAGCGGCATAAACATGAAAGAGAATTCGACCTATGTGACATAGTTTTGTAAACTGTTTAACAGCCGGCTTGTACGGCTGCATGTCTTTTATGTGTTACATTACTTTATGTATTCAGACGGGGTTAGTTTTCCATAGGTGGGGTAATATCAGTTTACCACAGGACGTCTGCAATGATCATGAGCAATGTGCACAGGATAAGAAATCTTGGTCCAAACGACAGAGACAGGAGTGGCTACTCAATTTACGTGCTGCCTTCACTCCAGAAAAGAGTAGGAAAGATGTTAAAACAATTAACTTAGCCATTATTTCATTTACTCTACCCATTGACCCTTCCCTGCATAAAATCCAACTTTTTTATGTATCTTTTACATGTTCTGAGTTGTACGTGAGACAGGACAATAATGTAACACATCGGCTTGACTTTAGCCACAGAAAACACAGAGGCTGAAGTCAGCTTCCTATTCGCCAACTTCTTGTTCAAATCTTTCCGTTCCACCTTAAATGGTGCAGCAGTTACATTCTCGTGCTTCAGTGTGCCAACACACTAGAGGCTGACAAAGCGAAACGGAGAAACGGAGCCCTCCAATGTACTTCAGTTGGGACGCTGCGTCAGCTGTCGGACTAAACACGTGTCTGTATGCCGTGAAAAGACGCATCATATAGCATCAAAAAGTTCAAACCATTTCAACTTTTGCTGCAACGCATTCTGATGTGGAGGCACGTCAACCAATAGAAACGTGCAGGCAGACGACGGATGAAAGTCCAAGATGGTAGTAGCGACGCTATGTCCTCTTTTCCTGTTCTACATGACTTCTTTGCCTTCGTGGCTGTTGTCAGCTTGGCTCTGTATGTGGTCATCGCCAAGTTTTCTTTCGATGGCCCATATTTCTTTGTTTCTGGTCCAAATGTTTTGTTTCCCGCTGATTATTGAACTGTACAAACTCCTCCCCGCTCCAGCCTTGTACACGCCTTCTAGACGGACAAGATCTGCATGCGTATGCGTCTACCGCTCCATCTTTGTGTTGTTTAGTGTGTAGGCACCCTCAGGCGTTATAATAACTGCTGCACCACTTAAAGTGAAACGGAAAAATTTGAACAAGTAGCTGACTTCAGCTTCGTCAGAGAACACAAGTAAACGTTTCTTTGAGTGTCTCCATATTTAAGAAACTCCTTTTCCACACATGATAACATTTTACCAACGGGATTAATACAACCTGAGGTATTTTTTATGGCTCGTTTTATGGAAGGTAAAGGCATAGAATTGGCGCATACACAGAAATGTTTACTAATTTGCATTATCTCTGTAAATCTAAACTGAAGTAAATGACAATACCCAATGAACATCTGTAGAGGAATTAATTGTGTTCATTGTAAAGTATTATACACACAAACTGTATACATCAACAACAACCATATTATTAGCTATTAGAGACACCTAACTTAAAATCCACAATACGTACCCAATTACAGTCCTCAGCTTGTGTATTGATATGAACAATATATGAGCCAGTCCCTACCCCATTAATCACTAGTCAGTTTCTGACTAGTGATGAGAAGTTTGATTTATTTTACTGAACTGGTTCTTTCAAATAGTTCATTTCAATGAATCAGAAGTCTGATTCAACCAATTCATGTAACATGCTAACATTATATTCTGCGCTCATTGAAGCAGGCTGACCAGGTCAGCAGACAACGTCCTTTTTTCTTGTCACTTTAGTCTCTCTCTTTTGGTTTTTGCGTTGTTGTAGTATAATCACCTACATCCATACATAGGTTTAACAACAATCTGACTTCTTTTTTCCTATCGTCTTCTCTTGCTCTTGCTGTGGAATTGTAAGAAAAGCGAGGTGCAAACAGCCACAAGAACACAACAAAAGATTCTGTAACCAAATACAGAGGATATAGCTATATGGATTTTTATTCATAGCTGTTATAAATATTATGTTTGTGTTGTCTCATATTCAAAAAATGATTACTATCCACTTTCAATGCCAGTGTTATTTTGTTGTAGAGTCCAGGGGAAAGTAACTGAGAAGCAAGCACTGCAAGCTAGCATTGATGCATTCACCATCGTCGAAAAGAATCTGATCACAAAATATGAAAGTTCTCCAGTGCTCAGTCACATGCTGAAATTCCTTCAAACCGAGGTGAATAGGATTACTGTCTACTAATATGTGTCCATATGTGATCTACATTATAGCTACCACAACCAGCCATATAATAATTTCACACAGTCAGTTTTTAAATCTGCTCTTACATTGATATTCAGCCATTATGCTCACGTACTATTTAACTCTTTGAAAATGTTCTATGAAATATGATGGCACACTTGTGCATTACCTGTGTTACAGAATTCTTTCTCCACTTTGTTTAGCAGTTTGCAAGCAGTGCTGATACTTCAATGGCAACAAAATGTCTGGTTTAGCTATTCTTCTTTCGCAAATGCTCTTTTCTAGTTTGGAAATGCATTCTTCCACACATTAATTGCAATTGTATACCTCTTTTACCTTCAATGTGAGAAATGTGTAACAATTCACTCTTTACACTCTGCTGTGAAATTGGGAAAGTTTTCAGGTTTACAAATATGTTACGGCATATTATTAAGTTTTTCATGGGCATCCCTGGCATAGCTACTGTTGCTAGGCTATTGAGGTCCAACTGGGTGAACCAATTTGCTACAGCACCACCCTGAGTGCTGCATGTCTAGTTAATTAAGAATGTCACAGACAGAAGCTTGTTGATTGTGTGTACAGCAGCTGAACAATAAGCTTTTCCTGAATTTGTATTTCAGTTTTGATTTTGAGACATTCAGGGGGTCCAACAGGTTAATATGGGTGTCCCAGACTCCCCAGGACACTTATTACACTTAAAATGTCTTTTAGCTTGTTTTCATTCTCTAATGTAAACAGGAAATGAAACTGAAGGCAATGCTTAAACAAGAAATTGTTGAGCAAAAAAAGAAAATGTATGAATCTCTTTCTGAGTCCATTACAGCCACAATGCTGCCCTGCTATCAGAGTAAGTTACTGCTTGTGATATTCCTTAAGCATTTCATTTTAATTTAATCTTAACACAGAAAAGTGAACACTGTACTGTATTAGGGGCTGCCGCCATATATGGTAAGGGCTCTATGAAGAGGAAGCAGGAAATTCTGTTGGACCACATAGAATCATCAAAGAGTGAAATGTTCCAGAAGGCAAGGACAGAGATGCTTGACAAGCTGCATGGAACACTGGTTTGTATTTTCCCAATTAGTGTAAATAAACAGCTATTCAGGTACAAATAAAATGCTATTTCTTAGCAAATCATTATGTTCATATATTCTCTTCAAAAGAATTACACAGTGAAGGAGATAGAAACAAGACTCACCGAGTCAATGAAGTATTCACTTCTTAATGCAAGAACCCTGCCTTATACGGGTAAGTTATTCTGAAAGCTAGGCACAGGGTCATCTCTTGTACTGTTATGACCATAGCAATTATTTACAGAAATACTTTTTAATGCTACACATTTATAAAAGAAGTGTATTAAATATAATTTCTTCTGCATTGTAGATGTTTCCAAGGACATGAAAGAATTGAAGAGATTATCCACTCAATACTGAGATCATTTGTCTACAGAGGAAGTGTTTGAATATTTTGTGGAAATTTAATTTAGCTCCACTAGTGCCTCCTACTCTGCTAATGTAATGCATTAGTATGAGTTCAGTATGTTGTCAAGTCAGTCAATGTTAGTCGGCTCTGTATACCAAATATTTTGATATTTCTAATCTCACATTTTTTTTCTTGGTTTGAGGTCTCTCATCCTGAAATACTGCTATTTTGACATATAAAACATCTTTCTTAGAAATGAACACACACTCTTCAATGAAAATCTGTATTTTAACTACTGATTTAAAGTTAGGTCTTAAAAAATGTGTTGTTTGAAAAGTAGCCAGACCTACATCTATCTCTATATTTGTCTTTTGTTATTATTTCAGTAATGTATATCCTTGTTTGTAGGTGATTTGTCTTTATCTTTGTTTAACAATTTATACATTCAGATAATTGATATTCAGGTTATATCAGGCTATTAATAAAGATTTCTTGTTGATAGATTCTTGTTAAGCTGCTTTGTAAATCACTGGTAAAATAGAGATGAAATAGCTATAAATTCTGACATTTTACAAACTACTTGCAATTAGCATTTTGTTGTATCTTATAACTGCCATCTGCCACTTCCTTTTTTTGCCTCATTTGAATTTTTACAAAAGCTGCATAGCATTGGCATATACCTATCTTATTTAAAGCCACACTATGTAACATTTGGAGATTTAGAGACCTCTCTGGTAGAAATGTGTAATTGCATGCAACATGTGGAAGAACATTTTATAACATGGGTGGGCTTCAGACCCTGTTTCAGGCTTTACAGGTCGTAAGGGCACTGTATTTTAGCAGGATTATTCTTCTGTCTCAGTAATGCTACTTTTAATTTAATAAAAATAACTTGCATATTACTTGTTACTTGCTTTAACTGGGATTTATTTGGGAATGAAATAAAGCAGATTTAATCTCTCAGATTGAGAACCAAAGAGTGAAGAGTTTTACAGTGTAAGTGTAGGGTACTCATTAGTAAAGATCTGAATCCAAAAGTAAAATGAGTAGTGTGTCGAAAAAAGTTTTTTTAACAGATGATTAACTTATGGTGTGTACAATATGGGAAGCAGTTAGGATTAGGCTGCACTTGGCTGCACATTTGAAATGTGGAGAAAAAAGACCTCTAGTACTGATTAATTAAAGCATTGGTAACACTTTCTATGAATCAGGTATCCATAATACCTTATAAATGCATTCATAAAGCTCTATAAAGCATTTATAATAGAGCATGCCTTCACTCTATCTTCAAATCTTCAAAATGATCAGCTCTATGAAGTAATCCATGTTAACATAAGCACATACCAACTTCTAAAGCACTATAAGTGCTCTTCACAGACTTTAAGTAAAGTAAGATTCCCCTAAGAAGGTCAAACAGAATAACAGAATCACCAGTTTGTACTTAAACAATGATTCATTTATTGGCAAAAAAAACTTTTACATCAAAAAGGCAATGATGTATATGTATGGAAAGAATTCCCTGTATTCCTTCATTTTTTCCAAACAAATTGAACTCTGCTTTTCCAGTAAAACAGATTCTTTGATGTTAGATTCTAAACAAATCTTTATAGACTTTTCCTTAATATAACAAAAGCTCTGTCATTCAAAACAAAAGAAACTTAAACAAACAATCTCGATGCCATTTACTGTATCCAAAATGTAAAATTTCCACAAACATAAAAAATTAGATATACAAATACTTTACTCAATAGCCTAATGAGCATTAGACAGCTTGGACAACATTTCTTTAAGTCTGATATTTTTAAAATAAAATTAACTTCACAAAACAAGTTTTCAAGAATTTAAGAAAATCTGAAAAATCTTCCCCCTCAAAAAGAACAAATTTCTTTTGAACTGAACAACATTTTTACCGCTGAACTACACCTCAGTGAGTCATAGGTAACAGTTCTCCACATGCTTTCATCTTTCCTTAATTTTGTCAGTTGTGGCCTCTCGACACCTGTCCACAAACGTGGACAATTTCTCTACTTTAGAATTCCATGGGGGAAGAGCCTGAAAGACACCTGGTGCTGGTAGGGCAAGCTCAGCAATAGGTGAGGTCCTGGAGAAGGTATTGCGGTCCACTCCCACTTTTTGGAAAGACCTCTTCATTGACCCAACTTGGTTAAAAGCTTGTATGGCATGCTTGTAACACAGTTTTACTCCACGAATGTGATGTGGCAACAGCATACAGACGCTCACGGATGTAAAAAACGACAAGGTTTAATATAGTCAGGCAAACAAAGCAAAAAGGGCAGAGCTGAAGTCAGGGTCAAAAACAGGCAACAGTACAAAAGGATCAGGCAAAAAAACAAAGTCGAGGTGATCAAAATGGAGGTCAGCAAAACGGAATACAGGCAGTCTGGGAAATGAAGTCCGTATCCTTGTCAGAGTTCGCTGAATGCGTGACAACGAACAGTTTTTGCTATAGAAAAGAAGTAATGCAAAGAAAAAAAAGAATATCTGAATTGTAGAGGGTTTTGCAATTTTAATGTTATTATTGCTAGAACCTTAGACAAGGGTGTGGGGTAACCCGGATTTATTTGAAGTCTACAGACCAGGTCAAGAGAGGGAAACATTCGCACCAAGAATGCTTCAATAAAAGGGAATTTATTGGTTAAGTATCAAACAACTTTTGGTCTACATTCAACGATGAACAACAGAAAATAAAACTGAATAAAATACTATATGGGTGGATATGGGTATTACAAGTTATCTTATTAAATAAATTGGCGTCAGGGCCCTGACTGCAAATTGAGGGAACCAGCTTACATTGGAGTCGAGGGGCTGACTTTAGGAGGGGTCGTCTCAGGAAAGGCTCGATCGAACGCTGGAGCTCACGCGTTGGTTCATCTTGTTGCTGGTCATGGATGCTGCATCTCCATGCGGGCACGCACCTTTCCGTCAGTGACTGGGCGGAGGCTTCTCGTGGATGTTTGAGGGTGGAGCTTGGGCAGCCTTTCAATGGTCAATCTGCTCACAGATTAGTGCGTGGCTCTGGGGGCGATGCCGAGTCTCTGTGGCGTCAGAACCGCTCCCACTCCACTGGTGAGGTTTAGATCGCAATCAGGGTTCTGAGGCTGGTGATACTAATTTAACTAACTAACTACCTTTGGCAAAGTCAAAAACATGAACTAAGTTACAAAAACAAAGGTTTCAGATCTGAAATTTTAGCGTTCTAATACTTCTAACCCGTCTTTCTGACGCAGGCCGGCACAAACTTAGAAATAGCTATCTTCTTGTTGAGAACGCAGGACTCTGAATTCACTAAAATCACTGTGCACACAGGTTTTGTTCGGCTTTAGGCCCTACCCTTTGGAGGCAGAGCCAGAGTGCTGATAGGTTCTCCTCATCTAACGATTAATTAGCTATTCATTGTTTCAAACTCTGACTGGTGGTGCATAATTTTAGGAGCGCCTACCCCACAATCACTGCCTTCTTTGTTTCAGTTAGTTTTAAAACAAAGGGAAAACATTATTCTAACATCAAATCGGTTTAACTTTCAAAATCAAGGAATGAACAGCTAGGACATTCAGGTATGTTTAGAAGAGAGAGTTTAACCCTTCTTACCTGATACACAACACATGTTAAAGGACACAGGCAACATTTGCCTGTGATCTGAATATGACTGGTTACAAACAGGGTCGTTACCCAATGCATGAAGAAATAAAATCAACAACGAAAGGGAAAGAAATAAAAGAAAGAAAAGAAAAGAAAACCACATTCAGGATACATATTTGTCAATTATTTAAACTCACTACAATGAAATGGTTGTCTCTGTCTGTTATCAAAGTTATACACTACGTATTTCTAGCACTTAATAGTAGAAAAAGATACAGGTTTTAGGTAACACACATAACAATAAGACTAATAAACAAGTAGTATTGCATACAGATTATATAAATGTTGATAATCAAGCCGGCAACACAACAAGTTTTCTTGGGTTCTTTATAAGCACATGTCCTTACAGTGGTGTGTTGTGTCTCATTCTCACCACTTGGGCGTGTTGTGGCTCCATATCTAAATTGTCAATAAAATCTAAAAAGGATAACTTTGTTATAGATTCTCATAACAACCTCGTTTTGGGGGTCTCCAGACTTCTTGAAATGAACCCTGTTAAATGGTGGCAAATTGGTGTTGATGCACACTTTAGAAACTTGATTTCCTGTAATTCAAAAGTTTAGTTAAAGCCTGCAGCTGGATTCCAGACACGGATTTATGGCTGCCTGGTATGCCTTTTGGGGCAGAAGGTTGATAACCTCCCACGATGTACATGCTTGGTCCAGGGTAGCTTCCTTTTAAGCTGTAAAGCTTGTTAGACAAGTTAATCCTGTTTATGGCTTTTACCTCAGACTTTGTGGAGCCACAGCTTTTAGTTTGGGTGATGTGGAGAGTTCTTGTAAACAAGAGTGACTTTGGTTCAACCAGATGGTGTTGTTCAGTACATAGGGTTTAAATGATCTGCACATCATTGCATTTTGTTTTTATTTACATTTTGCACAGCATCCCAACTTTTTTTGGAAAAGGGGTTGTAGTTTCTAGTTTAGCCAGCATATGGGCTGCACTGTGTTATTTCTCCTAAAAAACAGTCACACGTTCAATGCTGTCTCTCTATTATTCACCAACGTCACAGTAATACTGTTTAGACAAGTAATCATCAACATCAGTGCACAAAGGTAATAAGAGTAATGTGACATAAATGGAATGTCATTATGCTAGTAGTGAATTATGCTGCCAGTCAAAAATGATAGAAACGGACACTTAAACAGAAGTTAGGACACCACTGGGGTCGTCTTAAAAGTTAGGACAGAATTTAGGAAATTTTCTCTTGTTAGGATGTTTCTGTAATCTTGTTTTCTTATCTGGAGTTAATGAATATGATTATGAACTTAAGAACTGTTGTACTGTAATAGCTTCTGTCCTAAATCTAGTCCTAACTGAAGTTGTCATGGTGACTAAACAGATACGATTTCAGAGTTAAGAAGTCACAATGTTTACAGCGCAAATACAGCCATCTTATTTGATAATTTATTATGTCGTATTATTTTCCCAAACAACCAGTGAATCTCTGTGTGTCCTCTGAGCATTTATATTTAATGTTGATGCAAAGAATGTTAGAATTATTTGCTCTGAAAAAGCAGCCTCCCTCCCTCACTAATGCCTCTTCCTCATTCAACATACATTTTCACATGTACTTCCCTGTGTACCACTATTGCTACC